GCACTCCGGGCACCAGACGACCACGGAGCGCGTCGCTTCCCGGGGACGCCGTTGCAGTATTGAGATTCGTGATATTCGTATTGTCCATGAAGTTTCGAGTGAAACACACCAATTTAGTCTCGAAGTAGACAGTTAGCACTTTCCGCAACAATGACTCGGGGATATAACAATCCATCCGAGAAAGACGACTGAGATAGGTCAAGCACGTTCTTCATATTTTATTCTATAAGTTCATCGTTGCTGCCAACCTGGGGTGGCGAGGATGAAGTCATCCTAAAGATTGACCCGACAATATCCATCAAGACATGGGGATTCCAACAGCTTTAGTATTCGATCCTTATTGTATATAAAATAGAACGAGCACTTCAGGTGTGCTTTTTTTAGATTGCAACGCAATATATAACATCTCGACCAGGTATGTCAGCCACGGTCACGGCAACTAAGGCTTAATTCAGGAATATAACCTGCGATGGTAAAAATATCCGGTAAAATTCACCACTTAAAGAGCTCCATGAGAAATGTATAAAGAAAGGTATTAAAAACTTAGTTGGAATAGTAACATATTTACGCATGAAAGAATCCAAGAAAATAAAAACGACTACCTAACTCTGGCACTAGATCAGTGAGTCTAGTCCAAGCAGGCTTTTAGGTGCAGATATGAATTTAAAAGTATTAAACACCTGAGTAGGCGGTAGTAGCCGTGAAATATTGTTAAGTGGTTGAGGGCTCGAAGCTGTACCGGGTCCACTCTGAGAAGATTCATTGGGCCGAGATTGGTTGGAAGTGGTAGATGAAGCATGTGACAGAACAGACGGAAGAGACCGGCTGGGAAGAATGATAAGGCCGGCAGCAGCATTCACACCAATCCTGTTTGTCTTAGGCGTCGGTGTTTGCGACGCACGATCTAGAGCCTCTTGGTTTTCACAGAGAGCCTCCTCTTCAATCTCGGGGCCGGGCTCACGGTACCTGGGATTCAAGAAGTAAAGAAAATGATGAGAAGTTTCTAGGTATTTTCCATTGAAAAGTTGAAAATCTAAATTGTTCAAAGAAAAAAATATTTATCAGGCGAGTAAAATCCTTACAGACAGCAAAACTATTAATGAATATTTCGTGCATCCTTTACGAGATGGTGTGCATGTTAAGGATTCAAAAGTCAAATAAGCTTCGAAATGGTTGTCGTAGACGACTAGCAAGCCGAGGAAGTTCACATCAACAGATCTGAATATTGAAATAACGGAGGAGCCTTTGATAAGCTCTGCACATTTTCCTTTTCAAAAACAAACCAGACTCAGGTTTCTACTTTGATGATGTTAAAGGACGCTGAAGGAGAGCCTATTTAAATACTCAAACGGGCATCATAAGACCTTTTTGAAGGCTTCTACTTTTCCCGCGGATTCGTTTTACCACGACTTAGTCTAGAGATTAAGCGTAAAAACTGGTTAACGGAACACATTCTCACCAGAATGTGGTAAATAGCAGCAAAATTCAGATGGCAGCTGGATCTGCATGGTAACCCCGATGGACGGAAGAAATATGTAGTTGTCCAAGACTTAGGAAAATTCTTCAGGTCAAACATAAATCACAAATGACATCAAATATGTCGTTCCTTAGGCAAAACTTACTTGAACTTAAAAGTGTTTCCATGGAATGGTCCTGTATAGATTATAAGTACAAACGAATATTATGCACTACCTCAGGAAATGCACTGAATTCACACAGATCGCAGGAAGCAAAGCTTACCAGTATTTCGCTTATAATAGGTAACAAAAAGAGATGAAAGTATCAAAAGTTTAAGTTATAAGGATGTCTGATTAGTGCGACCCAGGTAAATGAAGATAGATTTGAAGAACTAGTATAAAAGCACGAATTATTAGCTTGACGCACAGCTTTACTGCAGCTCCCAGCCGACCTCCTGTAGTTAGACTTGGTTGTCAATTAGGTCAAAATGAAAAGTCAGTAGATGATTATAAGTCCAGCGAAGGCAGACAAGCAGTGAATATAAATCGGGTAATAAGTAGCATAAACAGAGACCGAAAGACCCTGTCACTTTGTTTATACAAACCTGTGCATTTAAGCACCAAACGAAAGTCAGAATTGTAAAATTTAGTTTCGACTGCCCAAGGCTCTTCGACTAAGAACTATTAGCTAACAATAAGCCTGCAGCATTCAGGGCAGTCGTTAACGCTAACAGTACTGAACCGGCTATAAACGGACTGCCGCACGCAGTTTTCTAATGTCATAACTTGGGCTCAGTGTATACGCTGAGCCTCGGAGTCCCTGGTCTGCAGTTTACATAATAAGGGCGTCTAACTCGAGCGTGAGGAACACGGTCATCAGTGCAAGTAAATCAACATGAGGGATAAATTACAAAACTCGGGTTTCACGGTAAGATTAATAAGAATATGACTAATTTTACCATTTCCGGATTTCGTATTTCAAACGCAGGAAGTCGTCAAAGTTCTCCAGCTTTTCCCTGGGTTCTCCATCACACAAAGCCATGTATATCTTCTGACATGCCTAAAAGTGGTCAGTATGTAATTAAAGACGGCATACTTTGTTCCCGCGCTTCTTCAAAAAGAAGATTTCCTGCATATTGAAATTTGACATGGAAATCGACTTGACCCGTTGGTTATATTTACGTCTTATATTTAAAGATAGTATAAAATGCGTTCGACTTACAGAGCACCACCGCAACTCGTGCAAACGAAAGAACCTATAGACATATTAACATAAGTAGGTCCTCTTTGATTGCAGTCGAAGCAAAACCTATTCTCGCTTAAGGAAGCGAGATCCCGCAGGATCTTCTGCGCAGAATCTTGTGACTTCTTAGAAGAAGAGGCCATATAGAGTTGTTAGACAAACGCTATCAGATAGTTAGTAAATGGCTCGTCGCCGTTGTTTGATATGGCGGGTCAGGCCAACTGTTTCAGATCTTCAAGGCCAGGTCTTTGTGCAGATATTTCTGATAACGAGGAAGAAGAGGACTTTGTTTTCTCTTTATCTGCTTCATAATGTGAAAATTATTTCGTAGCATAGTTTTGTAGGCTAGTAGGCAAGTATGCAAGAATTAGAAACTGCCTCCCTCCTACGAACTTATAGAGAGAAAAGTATATGTATGTTAAGGCAGTTACACGCAGTCTGAGACTATAAATGAGTATTGAAGATGTAGGATGTTGTAATTAGATAAATCCTAGCAAATACAATGGTTCACTGCTACTTAAATTACAAATAATAAAGGAACTCTGGAAGGGGTGTGGGCGAAGTTAAAAGCACATAAAGCGCCCCAGAGATTCGAAGTGCCTAAATAGGCCCTTGAGTTAGTGAAATATCGAAAAAAATAACTAGGAAATAGACTCAAGATAATGTCCCAAAATTCAGGGCATTCCGGTAACGGCAACCAGTGCTTTCAGGACGCGAGCCTTGTTAAGCCTAAAACCATTCCATTTTCCACTCGTTGCTTCGTTAAATGAAGACTAAAGCCGCACTTACTAAAGTCTCCCAATAATATGTGGTTCAAGTTTGGGTATACCAATGCACAGAACACGTTGTCTAGATTCCTGAACTTAAGTCCACACCAACTGCCTCTTCCTCACGTCATCTGCTTAGCAGAAATCGGGTTGTATGAAGACGTGGTTGACAGCGAACCGTCAGACCCTCGTATTTGTTTAGTGCGATGTGATAGAAGAATTATCTAGTGGTAGAAAGATGTTTACGTACTCAAAATAGGGACTGTTTGTGTCAGAGAAAACCGGAAAATTCGCATGCAACTGCGGGGAAATAAACAAACTACTTCAGTTCGTCGGTCGCCAATGATAACGTTCCTCATTTGCCCCAGATTTGTAGACGCATAAATGTAACTTGTGTGTGAAATATTTAATTGTGATGGCACACATACAGAGGATCCGCAGCACCCACCTGTGCCCGGTCGCAGGACTACGTCAGAATGAAATAAAGTAGGATCGGACGCAAGGTGAGAGAGCTAAGCAGCCTGTTTAGGCGTGCCACGTTCGCCTGGCTCACTCACAATGAACGAACTTTTCCTATACACAAGAAGTGCTCAGCTCGAATACGATTTAAGTGGGAGTGTATCAGAGGTTACATTAGCCTGATTCTTCGCATTGGAGTACCGAATGTCCCACCAGTTGGCATGTTTCCTAACTGCAACATAAATGCGTGGTTATACCTTCAATGTCCACCTGATTGTTTATAATGACGAATGCGCTGAAGTGTCGTCTGGTTGATGTCTTCATTAGTGACTTGACTTCCACATCACTCTCTCATGCCTCAGTCCGCTGTCCGGACAGATCAGCCATTTCAAGTTCGTGTGCAAATATTTGGCCAAGCTCAATCGCCCCCTGTGTGTGTGCCACATGCAACCTTGCCTCCGCACAATACACCACGTTTTTGCAAACGAAGTGAGTAGCAGATTTAGCTCTCACGAATGTGTGGGTGCCAAACAGGCCCTACCAAGAAAAAAACATCGAGATTTGATTCTCGTTTCAGCCATCAGTCACTCCGTATACTTAAAAACAGGACTGACTACGAGGTCTAAATTATGCCGTCAATTAGCTAGTTAGGTAGTGCTTTCTTGTGAGGTCACTTGTAATAGCTTTCCTGGTCTATAGGCTTCATTTAGTAACCAACAGAAGTGGCTCTCATAGTTTTCATGGAATGCATGCTTTCTTTTCGGCCTTTCCTGCTTTAACTCCGTCTTTATACCTACATTTTCCATTAAGTTGCAACGTTGTGGAAACGATTATCAACGAGGCCACCATGAAGTTTCTTGAAGAAAAAATTTCTTGAACAGTGCCCAACATGGATTTCGAGGAAGACGCTCCTGCTTGA